AACACTGTAATTAACTTTTTTAGTTTATGATTATATAACACAAGTATAAAAATTTTATTATAAACACAATTTTTTACTTTGTCTTTTATAATTATTTGTTATAAATTAAAATTTTAATCTTATTTAAATTTTACTTTTTGGAAAATTAAAAAAAAAATCACATAATGTGTGAGTGCTGAATTCTCTAAAAAAGATATACTTTTTAGCAATTAATTTGTGTATTGAAATTGGTAATTAATTATGTACTACATTCTCATCGCTATATTTGTATTTTTACGATTTATTATTTTTTCTGTAACCAAATGTATAATACAAATATAAAAATAAACAAATTATGAATAAAAATAACTAATTCTTGACGTTAGCCATATGAGAATCTTACATCTGTTTTTAAGTTAATATTTTAACATATTTTGACTAAATTTTCATTTATTTGTTGCATGTAAGTTTGAATACTTTGTCATATGTAGACTTTATGCATTCTAAAAGTATTATTATATATATTTAAAAAAAAAATAGTTAAAAATTTATGGATGTGTATATACACAGATCCATCAGAAAAAAAAACATACTTTAAAATTTCTGTTTTATTATCAATGTATATATTAATTTAAAAAAAAATATTTTAAATGATGAAACTACTGTATATAATTCCGAGATTCTTGTTGAGAGAGATGATATGATCAACAAGTATTTAATACTAAGCAATTCCGTCACGACACCAACAACCAATAGGATACATGTAAGCAAACCAATAAGTTTATAATATCTACGTGTCTCTCTTATAAGTCATGCTTCGTCATTGTAATAGTGTCGTTCGTGGACGAAAAACATAGAAATAAGCAAATCACGATTTGGTAAATTAAACAAGTTAATATTGAACACCTTTAATTTTTTTAAACAACTGAACATAAAGTGCTTGAGTATATTATTTGTCGTATTGAGTTCTTCTTTAATATCTTTTTTTTATGAATTTTGGTGTTGATATTAATTATTAGGACAGTGAGAAAAAAACTGCTTATACGTGAACAGTATGATTTATTCTTTCAAGTTACGTGCTCTTTGTAAAAAATCGCGTTCTTTTTTTCGAAATTTCCCATTATCATATGTACATTATTTGCAACATTTTTTGTTTAACTTTCGATAATTTATGGTAGTTTTTGATGTTTTATGTATGGTGTTATTTTGTTATAATTTTATGTTATTTATTATATTAAATTTGATGCATATATAAATTAAAATGGATATCAAAATCTTCTTCGTCGTAATATATAGTACAATAACTTTTTTAACTTATATATAATATTAATTGAAAATTATATTTTTTGTAATACATGTTATAAGCTTCTTTTTCAAATTAATTTGAATTATTGATTTATAAATTTTGTAAAGTAATTTTTGTGATATAGTACATCGTGCGATATTTTAAATTCTTTTGTTGATATGACTTTGTTCACAGTTTTAAAAAAAAAAATAGTTAAAAATTTATGGATGTATATATACACAAATCCACCAGAAAAAAAACATACTTTAAAATTTCTTTCTTATTATCAATGTATATATTAATTAAAAAAAAAAAAATTTAATGATGAAACTACTGTATATAATTCCGAGATTCTTGTCGAGAAAGCTATGATGTGACTGACAAATATTTAATGGTAAACAATTCCATATGACATCAATAATCAATAGGATATGTGCAAGTAGACCAATAAGTTTGTTTATAATATCTTATACGTGTCTCTTTTATAAGTCATGCTTTGTCATTGTAATAGTGTCGTTTGTGGATGAAAAACATAGAAATAAGCAAATCACGATTTGGTAAATTAAACAAGTTAATATTGAACACCTTTAATTTTTTTAAACAACTGAACATAAAGTGCTTGAGTATATTATTTGCCGTATTGAGTTATTCTTTAATATTTCTTTTTTTGTGAATTTTGGTACTTTGATATTAATTATTAGTACAATGAAAAAAAATGCTTATACCGGAATATACTATTTTCTTAAGTTGTACTGTTTGTAAAGAATCGCGCTCTTTCTTTCGAAATTCCCCTCTATCCTTTATATATTATTTGTCACATTTTTTTGTTTCGATTTTTCATAATTTATGATAATTTTTGATGCTTGGTGATATTTTGTTATAATTTTATGTTATTTATTACATTAAATTTGATACATTTTGTTGATATGACTTTGTTCACAGTTAACAAATATAAATATTTTGAGCTTTCTTTCTCGTTATCTCATCGCGTTTGTATTATTATTAAGTTTCAAGTATTTTGAAAGTTGCAGAGTTTTATTAGTTGTAACGAATACCTACAATAATAAAAATTTATCATTTACAGCGAAAATATCGTAGACGAACTCAAACCAAATAATATTCTTCTTTATTATTGATCATATTTTATTATAATTTTTGTTTTTTTTAGCAATATGATAATTATCTTTCTCGATACAGTTACGAATCGTTATAATATTTAATTTTTCTGTCATTTCGCAGAGATCTGAGCTATTAAAAAAGTAATGTTTTTAATATTCAAAATGTTTACGTTATAGGTTTCAGGCAATTGGTGTAATATCGCGAGACTAATAACGACTGTTTAAATAAAGAAAACTGCGACATTTCCTCATTAGATTTTTTCAAGAAAAGAGTTGAACACATTCTCACGATGCACTTTATGATACACACATTAAGAATTATTACTTTTGCAATTTTAATCTCAAGTAAGATAATTTATATCGTAATTCCATATATAACTACACTCTAGTTCTGTAATTATATGTATCTATAATGTGAAAAATGATGTTTATGTTTGTGCTTTTGTTCAATTTTCTATATCTTTTCTCATATCTTCAACATTAATCACAAAAAGTGATACTAAAATGTATGAGTATAATTAAATATTTATTTATACAAAATATAATAATATATTCATATTTTTATTATAGGAATAGTAATATAAAACGATAGAACTACTGTATATAATTCTGTCTAGAAAGATATGATAACCGAAAAGTATGTAAAGGTAATCAATTTTGCACGACATCAACAACAAACCAATAGGATACGTGCAAGTAGACCAATAAGTTTATTAATATCTCGTACGTGTCTCTCTTATAAGTCGTATTTCGTCATTGTGATAGTGTTGTTCGTGAAGAGAAGACATAGAAATAAGCAAATCACGATTTGGTAAATTAAACAAGTTGATATTGAAAACCTTTAATTTTTTAAAACACCTGAAGATAGCACTTTATTATATTATTTTCCGTATTGAGTTATTCTTTAATATCTCTTTTTTTGTGAATTTTGGTATTAATATTAATTATTAGTACAATGAAAAAGAAAATGCTTATACGCGAATAAACTATGATCTATTCTTTCAAGATGTGCTTTTTGTAAAGAATCGCGCTCTTTCTTTCGAAGTTCTCTAATATTATTTATACATTATTTGTCACAATTTTTGTTTCAACTATTGATAATTTATGATGATTTTTGATGTTTGGAAATATTTTGTTAAAATTGTATGTTATTTATTACATTAAATTTTACATATATAAATTGAAATAGATAATAAAATCTTCTATGTGGTAATAAAGTACAATAACCTTTCTAATTTATAAATAAAATTAATTGAGAATTATATTTTTTCTAATAAATGTTATAAGCTTTTTCAACAAATTAATTTGGATTATTGATTTATAAATCTAAGTAAAATAATTTTTGTGATATAGTACACCGTGCGATAATTAAAATTCTTTTCGTTGATATGACTTTGCTTATTGCTTACAGGCAGCAAATATAAATATTTTGAGCTTTTCTTCTCGTTATCTCATTGCGTTTATATTATTATTAAGATTCAAATATTTTGAAAGCAGCAGAGTTTTGTTGATTGTAACGGATACACATAGCAATAGAAATTCATTATTTACAGCGAATATCGTAGACGATATAAACTCAAACCAAATAATATTCTATTTATTTCATCATTGATTATATTTTATTATAATTTTTGTCTTTTTTTGTTTTAGTAATATGATATTTCTCGATACAATTACGAATCGTTATAATATTTAATCTTTTTTATCATTTCAGCAAAGTTATCAAAAAAGTAATGTGTTTAATGTTCAAAATGTTTACGTTATAGATTTCAGACATAGTATAATATCGTGAAACTAATAACGATTGTTTGAATAAAGGAAACTGCGTTTTTTCTTAGTTACATTTTTTTAAGAAAAGAGTTGAACACATTCTCACGATGCATTTTATGATACACACATTAAGAATTATTATTTTTGCAATTTCAATCTCAAGTAAGATAATTTATATCATAACGCCATAGATGACTACATTCTAGTTCTGTAATTATATGTATTAT